TTGCAAAGGTGCTGATGAGCCCAGTTTCTGAGGTTGAGAAGGTTGACTGGATAATGATGGAGAAGGGGGACGGAAGACATGATCGAATGAACATAGCTACTGCACATTTGTACTGTGCATACAAAATCTTCTGTAACCTATGTTACACAAGGTGTCTCATTGTGTAATTTATGTTTGTCTTCCCTTCAGTTTTGGGATGATAAGCAGTCAAACCGCATCTCGGATCCTGCTTGCAGTGCAAAGTTGAAATAAAAAATAACTTCAAAAGTGTGAAATGTAAAACTTACATTTAAAGTGGAGGAGCACAAAGCCCTCTACAACCTCAGCATTCTTCCTTATAACAACATGAGAAAAACAATATGGTCTGGAAGACATGTACCAATAGAGCACAGCTTGAGTATTTAATAAACTACAAGACAATACTATAATGAAAATAAAGTATAACTTCACTAATTAAATAGTATATTACATTGAAAGTTTGATTGCACAATTTAGTTGGCATATGTTCCAATTAAAGAAACTTAGAAAAGGTGAAAAAGTGCACGAGCTTGTCCTGTAATAGTTCCTCATTAGGCAGTGGAGCTGGTAACACTTTGGAGGTCATCAGTGTAGATGACTAGATGCATAAAAACAACATAACATGAGCAGAACCCACACATATATTCTTTTCCCCTGGTGTCCTTGCCAAAACTCCCCCTGGCCTTTATCAGTTATGGCCTCCTAATAATCCCCTTCTATGAGTTGACTTCGTTATTCTGTTCTCCTCCCAACTGACAGCTGCCATTCTGTTGCTCTTTGGTTGCTGCATATTGGTGGTGAGGGTGGGATTCCCCATTACCTGTAAAACGCTTTGAGTAGAGTGTCCAGAATGGCACTATATCTAATATATATGTGTATACAGCATACACCTACCTGTATATACACAATATAGATGTACTGTAAGCAATAATAATAAAGATTATTTTTATTTTGTTATTGTTGGATTGGAAAACGTATAGACCTGGTTTCAAATTCAACAGAATAAACAAAGATAAAATAACCATGACTGCATAACAAGTTCAAAAGTATTTCTGCCAGGGGACTAGGGTATGGAGAATTGCCTCAACCATCAAAAGGCTGCATATGAGTATACAACCTTTTCGTGAAAACAAGCAAGAACTCATATATGCTGCATTAATACAAAGAGCAATAAATCCAGCTTCTCCAGTGTAATTAGGCTTGTGTATTCAATACCGTCTGCTGACTGTCTCTCTTACTTTCAATGTCGGGTGTATAATTTACTCTCTAAATATACATTTATTGTTGCACTAATTAGACAGTGAGTTTGGCTTACAGAAATAAAACCACAACAGAGAAAACCAGCAATATTTCATGTCTGTTCACTTTTAAAAATGACAAACATTTGCAAAATACGAAATCTATCCAAGTAAAAATGAAAAAAACATTTCCGAAGATGACAATTGGCAATATAAAGACAGCTGAGTCAGTTTCATCATGCAACAGAAAAACTAGTTTTGGGTTATTTTGCTTTAGGACGTACAGTATATTAAAAGAAAGATCCAGAAACACAGTTAGAATCTGAAACTTAATAAAGAATTAATTTAATAGAATCTGGGACTTAATAAGGAATCAATAACAAATTTTGGTGAATCCAACAGAAACTATATTGAAATTGCCTTTGTAATTGATTTAATGAAGAATTCAACCGCAACATTTATGTGGTAATTATCACCTTTGGTAACTGCCACTTTAGATGGTGTTTCATACTGTATGCCCATGCCATACGTTATCCAGGCCTCCAATTGTGTTACTAAATGAAAAGGGTGATTTTAAAGCCAGTCAAAAAAGGACAAAAACAACAAGAACTAATAACTACTCTGCCAAAATAGTTTCATTTCTATGCTTAGGAAAAAGTGCATTTATAACCTATTTATACTGTCCTTATATCTTTATACATGAATCATTTTAAAATATTGTAAAATGACATTTATTGATGGTCATTATGAGAACTGTGAGCACCCGATACTTGTTGTAGTCCCCTACACAGCAATTTCAGCTACAACTGACAATTTGGCAAAGTCATCACAAGCTTCCTTGAACTTGATCCCTCCCTTGATCCAAACAGGAATGTCCCACTTTTAGATTAGAAATCAGTTCTAGATCATTGACCATTGACTAGGATTTCTATTTGGAGAAATTAAATGTGCAACTTATCCTTGATCAAATCACTAGAATATTACATTTTGTAGGTCCTCCACTAACTCTACAATACCAATACTAGCACAAATCTATCACCCAAACTACAACAAAAACATTTTTGTTCTATATATATTATTATATAATTCCACTTTGAGATACAATCAGTTTTAAAACAATTTCATGAAATTATGTTTCATTTATTGAATTCATTATGATTATTAACAATTCTATTTTAGGCTTAGAAGATTAACACAGCATTAACAGACTTAGTCATGAGAACAGCTTCTCTAATGCTGTTGCCGACATTTTAATATTGCGAGTTTTATATTCTAAACACATGATACCTAGCTTGAAAAGACTTCCAGCTTTTATCCACCTTCAGTAAACTGTAATATCAGACGGGATTAACTTTGTTATTAAAATCACCTTGCTGTTGAGGAAATGAAAATGTCAGTCATCATTAATAAGAAAGTCTATGTTCTCCGCAGTTCTATTTCCCCACTGTTGCAGTCCCACAGAGATCGGTATGAGTACAGACGTGCTGCCCTGTTCAAGGAAAGTGAGTCAACTCAAAAGAGCACTTACTGTAAGTATAAATCCCAGCACCTTGTTACACTAATGAGTCATTAGGAAGCCTAATTACAATTGCTTTTGAAAAGGTGCCTAAGAAATAAGCAGTTGCTTTGAAAACAACCATATTAAGCTCCTAGAGCTGCAGAAGGTATTCTGAGACTGGCATCACCATATGGGATGAATTACAACTCGTTCTTGACTTATCTGGCATAGCACAACCTGTAGAAAATATTCTAAACAGAAGTAACAGAAAATTGACAATGACACTAATTTTACAAATATTGCACTGCAAAGAACATATTTCTGGAGGCAGGGTGCAAAATGGCTTGTATGGGCTAAAACTAAACAATAAAGCTGTAGAGTAATATAAATATTAAGATGCCACACAGAGTGTGTCTTCCTGCAAGGAGTCTTCACATTTTGGTGAAAAATGCAACATGCAATTTGAATGCAGATAAATGGAACGTGTACATTTTACCAGTATGTCTGGACCAATTTCCATCTGTTTCACATGTGTATGTTTTGGTGGGGAAAACACTTTGAAAGACTCTTGAAAAGGCTTTCATATTTTTACTATACTTGACTGGTAGGATTCAGAAGGACACTAAAACCTTTAGAATGTTGTTTACAAAAGTATATATACTGAATAACTGTTCTGAACTTAAATCACTGAAAATACTGGGGTTTAAAATATTTTTTTTACATTATTCCAGTCAGGACAGTCAGGGATTTTTGTTAGTAGATGCATGCTGTATTCCACATTTGATCAATTACACCCTCCAAATACCTCTGTTATTTTACAACTGATTTGAAAAAGCATACTACAAAATGTAATATGTTAATTAATAGGTGCCAGACAAGATTGCCTTCAAAAAGAAGCACAATAATCCACCTTCTACAGAGAAAAAAAAACTTTTCATATTTAAAAAGCCCTCTCTTGCAACTTCAACCTTGATTTTAAGTTCTATGTTGCCAAACCTACTATGCTGTGCACTAATTACAGCTCATTTGGAACAATACATTGTATGTCAATTACATGAACCTCATATATATGTAGAGTCTTCCAAAATCTCGAAAAAAGCAGAATATAGGAGTATAAAACAGGAAATTATATAGGATTAGGAGATTTTCAATATTGGTTTATTTAAAGTTTACTCTTTATATCACCACAACTGAATATGCTGTAGTCACCAGACAAGATCACATTTGTACCACTGTCACCTAAGGAATGTTTCACCTAAACATATAAGCTTGAATATTTGATTTGCCGAGAAATCAATACACATTTCACAGAACTTCACAGTCGTTTAAAATTAGTCTAAAATTCAGATTTAGTGTGTGAACCACTGTGTTTATTGGAAAATGACTATTGTAAATAAACAAATGACAGTATTTGATACTTATTAATTGAATTTAATTTTTGTGTGAACTAAAAGGTGCACCTTCTAATTTTCAAAACATTTTGCACCTAACGTTTTTAAAAATGAGGTTCTTTTTTTAAAAAAAAAATGGGCAAATGCAGAAAATCTTGAGCTCCCACTCTTAAGATGTGACTGAAAGATTGTGTAACTGAAAGCTCAGCTTCTTCGGGGCTGTAAAATACAGTTGGGGAGGATTACATGTCTTCTGAACTAAGTGGTCTGAGCCAGGATTGAACATGGATTTCTATTCTGTTTAGTGGGGGAGAGGACAGCTTCCTTTAAAAGAAAGCCAAGAATCTCTAGTTGCCAAAACCTGCTTTGGAAAATGTTTTCTGTGCATGCATGCTGTGACGTCTTTCTGACAATGCATATTCTAGAATATTCTACATATGCATATTCTTGACACCTGAAGAAGGCTCCACGGCCGAAACGTTGTGTTCTCTTTCCTATTACTTGTTCCTTTGCAGCCTACGCATGCTGACGCAGCTACCCACCTATTCTAGAAGTGTGCTACCTGACTGGGATTGGCTAGCTGTGCATTGTAGTTAAAGTACTGTAGGTAGACGCATCAGCATGCGTAGGCTGCAAGGAACAAGTAAAGGTTTATTCCATACTGAAAAGAAAAGAAGAGAAACACAACATTTCGGCTGTGGAGCCTTCTTCTGGTGTCCCTTCAGACACCCAAAAAAGGCTCCACAGCTGAAATATTGAGTTTTTCTTCTCTTTTCAGCATGTAATAAACCTTCACTTGTTCCCTAGCTGTGCATTGGGTGACTTGCTTTACTAACTTCTGCATTTCAGGTCTACCTCACTTGACTGTGTCTTCCCCATTTCAGCATAGAGATGGTGGATATGACGAACAGGAAATCTGTAGCCCTGTTGGTATGGAAAAGGAGCTGTAGCCCATGATCTCACCCTGGAATCCTCTTTCCTTTCTTCCGCACTCACTTTCCACTGCCATGTTTTGTGAACCACAGTAATTTATTACTCCAGTTGAACTGCTCTGTGTTTTAGAGTATGTATACACTATGAATAACTTATGTAAATGAAGATGGTCAGTAAAAATGGCTCTCCCAAACACTACTTACTTTGCAGAAGGATAACTGAATAAATGAATAAGTGAATTACTATATGTGTGCAGTAACGTATTCCATCATAATTCATTTAAAAATAAAAATAAGCATTGGGGTGGAATTAATTGCAAAGTACTATCTATGACTGTGGAGAGTGACATAACAAAGTTAAAAATGGCAGCTGTTTTCAAGCCTGGACCACTCCTTTCTGCCAGCAAACTTAAAATTTAACTGTCACTTTTACTGTAAAGATCATGAACAACAAATGGGATATTTAATTAATCACGTAACACGATCAGGGATTATTCAGTAATTGAATATTACTTACTGGGCCTGTCACTTGAGAAGCACTCTCAAATTCTTCATCTTCCTCCATCAGTGTTTCTGCCCCAGGCAGTGGACCTGATCCAGACAACAGAACAGTACTCACTGCACACTTACATCAGCTCTCAGAAATAATTGCTCCCAAACATAGCTTACAACTAGTAATTAACTGCCAGTTCACGCACAGGTAGAAAAAAAAGTAGACAAATGAGTTTCAGTTTTTCTGCCAAGTATTTTTTTTAAAGAATCGCACACTACTTTTTTAACACATCTGTTGACTTATTTCTATAGTTTTAAAATGTTGACAGCTTATATATTTAAAATGACTCATTTAAAAAGGTTCAACTTATACAAGGGTATTGTTATCCATTTATCTGCCTAACATTTTCGTCCAAAGCGACTCAATGTTTGTACCCATTTCTACTGCTGGGCATCGTACTGGGGCAATCGGCGTGAAGTACCTTGCTCAAGAGTACAACAGGATCACTGCACCTAGGACTTGAACCCACACCTTTCCAGTTCTGAGTCCAGAGCCCAATCATGCACAAACGTTTGCCAATGGGTGAGTCAGATCATGAAGGCAATTTGTCAAGTATGCCCTAATAATTATGCTTCCAAAGGGCCATATTTATATCTTCACATTTATATGTCTGCCAGCCCTAGACAGGTTATTACTCTTCCTGTAATAAAGTGTTTGTACTTCATCCCTGAGCCACACATGAAGCTCCTCTTAGATCTCGTCATCATCACTGTAGTTCCTTTATCCAAACACGAAACATGATGAAAGTGCAACATATAGAGATGTAAGGTGAATGAGAAAATGGTACAAAACTGAGCTCTGCATAGCCCTGCACAGAAGTCTGTTTCACAGGTGGGTACAAGTCATGTTGAAGAACAATGTCATTTGGCTTTCAGGGCTGCCTTCTTCCTCGATGGAGCAACCATGGTTCAGGAAGCTCTTCGAAGTTGGATGTTCAGTGATGATGAGGTCCAAGTGGCAATGCAAGTATGGCCTTGTTTTTCAGACATATTTACAGTTGCCAATTATTTAAGGTTATTATTAAGCAAATGTAATTAATTTGGTATCGGCAATTGTTCAGGACTTGGTTTTCCAGAAATAGTGTGCTTGCACAGGAAAAAAGAGGACCTGTAGGCATGTTCAGCTGACACGCCCGCCTGTCAGAAGCATTCATTTCTGACACTCTGCAGGCTGTCAGGAAACTGAGCAAAAAAAATCTCTCACTGAGGTCTGGGCAAGCCTGCAGGCACATGCAAAGTCACAGTTTTACCAAAAGCCAAAAGGATTCTGACTGCCTTATGCCCATCATTCTCCTGCGTTGCCCCTTAGGTGATAGTGACCACAGGCAGCTGGTAACATGACTCAGATTTGAACCAGCAGGTTTGAACCAGCCCAAGGACCAGCCAACATAATTTTATCATAATGGTTTCCATGACCCTAAGAATTGCTGAGTTGCTGTCATCAGAGGTACAGTATATGGACATCAGATGGCACTGTGCTGCAAAATAATGGTCTTCGAGTCAAACTATGAAAAGTAATTAGTGGAAAATTCACAAATCCAGCCCCAGCAACCATTTGCATAGATTGATAACCTGTAGAACATTTCTTTAATTCAGTAGAGCTGTTATGGTTTGTTAGAGTGTGTACTCATTGTAAGATGTCTATTGTAAAATAAAGTTTATTTTTTGAAAAAAATTGCTAATTAACTTCACTGCCTTAACCTTGTAAAATTCAAACACTCTTGTATTCAGTTTCAAAATCAGGATTGATGGCAACTCTTACAATAATGAATTTTAGGTAGGTTTGTAAAATGACACTTAATACTTTTAATACGACAAGCACTGTATTAGATAAGCAATCGACGAAGGACATCTTGAATGCTCTTTACTTCTGTTTCTATTCAAACGGTTTTATATACAGTTAATGAATTGTGAAAAGAAGAGTTGTACAGGTGGAGGTGATGGCATTTTCGATTTGTAGTAGATTTCTGAGCAGATCTAATGATTACTGGCGCCACTACTTACAGACAATTTCGGGAACAGCTTGCTCAGGGGACTGGGCAGTGTGAAGGTCTTCATCCCTTGCCTCCAAGAGACTGTCACCTTGGAGCCTGAATGAAACGGATGAGGAGGAAGAATGTTATTGATAGTCTGCACCTTTGATGACGTCATGGAGGATTCAAGAAAGTGAGATGACCACTAGGTTCAGAATGCGTGTTGCAAAGACTACACCTTCTAATATGTTTTGTTAATATTCTATTCATTCTATAACAATTATCACCTGATTGTTTCTAGAGGCAATTTTGATTTATATTTATGATTTTAATGTACATTAATTTAATTTTACAAATCTAAAATAATACATTATGCCATAACAGCTGTTAGATGAGTACCTGAAACAAAGTCAAAACACATATTTTTTATTATTGTTCTTTTTTTTTTTCAGATAAAATTTCTGAAGAAAAATTGTTTGTAAACCTTTGGTAATTTGGCAATCCAATTAATGTCGCCTTATTTCCGACTGGTAAATCAACATGCTTGCAGTTAACTTTCAGATTAAAACAATTTATACTGTACAACTTTCATATAACCACAAACAGCAACACATGAAAACAGAAATATGAATTATTAATTTATTTTGTTTGTTTTATACACTGATATATTTTATATATCTATTTTTTTAAATTCCAAGCATAACTTAAATCTGTACATTTGAAATTATATTTCAAGAATATGCCTTTTAGGGTAGTTGAGATCGGTTACAAGGACAAGTGTGTTTTTCTGCAATGATTATTAATTAATGCAAGCATTATAATGATATTAAATTAATACATTCTAAAAAACAATCATTGCTGCATGCTTTAGAGAGAAATGTTTTTTTTAATCTACTTTGCTGTTTTTCTACAAAAAATGAATTACATAAAGTAAGGTGTTTTATTTCCTGTGTAGTTAATTCTGTTGTTCAAAGAATTAACATTTTAGACAACCATAAGATACCATCCAGATTAATCAAATTCAGAAAAAAATGGCTTGGATACTCATTATATTATGAATTACATGTGTAAAATAAAAAGGTCCCAACCAATATGAAATTTAAACACAAAACAGATTAAGACATAAAATGGAAAACCATATATCTTAGGTCAGAACTTGAATTGAATGAATTTTCACAAAGATAAAAAACTACATCGAACAGTGGCTATGCCTAATTAATTGAGAATAAAACTTACATCCCCACCGGAATCAAAACAGCTTTAGAAATGACACAATGCATTTTGCTTGACTGAAACTCTGGAGACTTAGTGTCTCCATTGAAAAAGGTTGATTAAACAAACATGTTATGTGTCCATCGGTCTTATCGCCTTTATATGGAATCAGAAATGTTGGATCATACAGTAGGTATGTACAGTAACAATAGTAAACGACCGACAGGAAAGTGAAGATGTATTCTACAGATATTATATTTAGGAAGAGGTCACCACAACAATGATATGAAAAGTGCAATGATGATATCAGCAGCTGTTTGGAATCTTTTAAAGCCCACCTCTTCTGTTATTTTCGTACTGGAATGTTTTGCTTCCTAGAAAATGCATTCAGTACACTAACATTTCCCCTAGTTGAATAGGGATTCTCGTCTGCCTGGATAAAGTGGTGCATCTTGGAAATGATTCACGCTTCTCACTTTGTGAAACACAGAAAGTCTGCAGCCAGTAATAGCAAATCCGGTTTCTTTGCATCTATAATTAAATCATAAACAGTTCCATAAAACATCAAAAAATATCACACACCCCATTTAATTAATGTTATGATGTAGAAAAGTAGACTATTAAAATGTTATTCCCTTAAAACAATCCTACAAAAAAAAAGCAAACAAATGCCATTTAGTTTTGCCACCCATGCCACTGTGCACAGCACAAGGTGTTTCTTTACATGTTAGTGCTGTACTGTCTCCACTCGACCATTGAAGCAGCGCAGATAATGGCTGGTTGAAATTAATGGTCTTCTGTGTGCTACAGTTCCCACTGCCATTCAATAAAACACTCACTACATAAACACAATTTAGTTAATGGAGCCAACTCCCTTATAATTTTGATTTGTAAAGGCTGGAACCAGGATGTTATGGAATGGGATGGACTGTACTGTATATGGGACATGTTTCATAATGGAAGTTGTGGTTCAAGGCATGTTTCTGCTTAATTGACCAAAATGAATATACAGTACAGAGACTATGGCAATGCTACGCTGAAAAGCATGCCACAAGAAAGAAGCAGCACTCTGTCCAAGAAGAAAACGAGGCCGAAGAATTCTACAGCCAAATTAAAAACAAAGGGAGAAAATTCCCCATGTGGAAGCTGAAAATATGAGAAGTAAATGCTCAGGATGTGAATTTTTATTCAAATACGCACTTTTGAATACGTTGAAAAGCTTACGCTATTTTTACACTGCCATCAAATCCCCAAATTAGAAAAGACTTCACATTCGCCTCTGGTGTCGCAACCCTTGGGGTAAGGTGGGTAGTGTAGTACAGGCGTCAGAACCTAAAATAATACCAATCACTTCCTGTAAGGCAGAAAGTATATCTAGTGCTTCTGGTGTTTATTTTACAAATGAATGAAACCCTCTTTTAAAATGCAATTAGCAGCTGCCGTGCTTTCACAACATTTCAAATTTTGTAAGACAAATTTCTTGCCCTTAGAGTCCGGTGTGTTTAATCATTATTAACAATAATTATTGCCTGAGGGATAAATAAATTCCAGGCATCTGAGGATGTGAATTGAGCATTTGCAGTAGGTATAGTAAGATCTGACTTGACCCTCTTGTTTAAGGTCCTACCTCCCTGGCTATAGGATGAGCAGACTGGGGCCCGATGGGCAGTGATGAGAAAACCATAGAGCTGCACAGGTGGAGGAGGAATGTGAGCAAAAGCGACTTGTGAATGATACTGTATATCACACGCCTTCAAGACATAACGTTGCCATCGATTCTGATTCAGAACAGCTGGGACAAAAGCAGCTTGGTTGTTGTCATTCCTCCTGAAATTCAGTTAAGCATTTCAAATATCATAGTTGTACATCCACTTCCCTTCCACTGACCACAGTACTCTCATTCAACAAAAACCTCTCATTCGACGAAAAATGAAATAAAAAATGGCAAAAATACAGTAAAACTACAACCATCTGCAAAATAGCAGTTAACCGCCTATCTGCTACTGTATGTGAGATAAACAGGCTCTGGGATTGGTGATTAGTGATTAGTATTGCCTGTAAACTCTGCTGAAGGATTGATAAATCAAAATATTCAGCATCTTTGAGGGAAAAGGAGATCCTTCTTGAGCACTAAACCTCAAATGACTCATTTGGATATTTCAATCAAATTTGATTGGCATTTACAGTAGGAACAACATTTCTGTGGTTTCTATTTTTTGTATTGATTGGTAATTAATGAATGGCTCTTAAACTGTTACATTAAGATAATCAGCTCATTTCACCATGTGGAAGCACTATAGTCAAGTAAAAGAGCAAGTGATAAGAGAGATAAAATCCACTGAATTTAATCTTCCTTCCTCTCGTGATAATGTTCCAAGTAAAAATACTGATTGCATTTAAATTTCCTGTGTACTGTAAAATAGGATATTCATGCATTCTGGAAAACAGATAAGCTGTCTATTTGTATAGAAACAACCAAGGAAATAAGAAAACAAAATTTAAAAACATGCTGGCATGATTGTACCAACTGTTTCATCTCAAAGATGCAATTTTATCGGGTTTTGGCATCGAGTTTCAGCAGTGCATGCGCATGATTAATGAATCAGAAAGAAATCTGGGCAAAAGATTTGGCCCTGTGGTTTTGAACAGGAAATGTTTTTAAAAATAAGTGATAATGCTGAAATTATCGAAGTTTGTCTGTGTAGTAAAAGCAAACAAATTTGGAATGCGTTTAAGATAACTCATCCTAACAACTGTGTAGACTGTAGATAGATATAAAAAGAGGAAACAACGTTTTTCTGATATCTTATACTGCAGTCATATCTTTATATTACTGTCAACGGAGAAGTAAATTCAAAACACAAAAAGGTCCTCTTGAGTTTCCACTCTAATCCTTATCCTGAAGATATACATCAGCTCTTTTAGGTATTTCTTTAACTGTATAGAATTACTTTTTTTTTTAAAGTAAGCCAATAGATTTCTGTTACATGTGTTCTTTAAAACTACATTGTGAACTTCATGTTATTTTAGCAGAAATATATGGCATAGGGTATGAAAATGTAGCACACAAAATTTAATTTGTGCTAGGACTTGCAACGACAAAACGATATTTTTGTTAATCTGAAACACACTTTCTTGAACTTGAAACTCTCAGCATGCCATGTTAGGTATCCACTCTGCAAGTCATTGCGTGTATTTGGAAAAACAGACTGCTCACAAGGACGGGGAAGTTCTTGAGGCGACTTAGCAACGAGAAAAGGGAGTGTTGCACTGTTACTGACTGTTACAGAAGACAAGTAAAGCCTACGTTTCTTGGGTCTGCACCTGGAGAATATATTCAGACCTGTTTGACATGATTTGTGGTCCTGTAGTTGCTTATAATTTATTTTTCTACTTGCGCTGTTATTTTCTAAATGAGGTCCGGTGATGCTACCATAAATCATAAATATTTATCAACAGAACTTACTCTACTCTTTCAAATAAATATTGGTCAAATAAAAAACAGTATTGTTGTCAGCTTTTGCACCCTGGCACTTCCTTCAATACAAATTTAGAAGAATGTAATACCTGCTGTTTTTTGAGCAAACATATACATTAAAATGTGGGCATCTTTTTCAAATCTAGTGGTGACATCCTGTTGAAAGTTCACTTGTATCATCGCTGACAACACAATATATATGTCTTAATATCTTAATAATTCCTAATTAAACCATATAAACCAGTCAAAAATAATAGTTTACAATGGTAACCTGTGATCCAAGAGGCTCATTATAATATTAAGCAGAAGATGAACAGGGAAAGAAAGAAAAGAATAATGTAGAAAAATAACTTCATATACGAAGACAAAGAGTTTCAGCTTACTCTCCAGATTGTCCCAGTAATTTGCAGAGGCAAATTAAACTGACTTGCACCCTAGGTCAGTAGTTACTCTTGGGAGTTTCCATTTGATGAAAATAGTACACCTTTGAATGTACGATAGTAAAGAAGACTGCAATAAATTATTGTAAAATAATCTAAATCGATGATGCATTTGGCTAGCGTGCAGAGAGGACCATGCAACAACCATGATCAAAGACTAAAGGATACAATGATGAATGCGACAGGAAGCAATAGTGATACATTTCACAGCAGATTAGTATAAGATATGAAGTTTCACAAGAACAGATTTAAAGGTCGTACTGCAAACCATAGTCCAAGACTGGGGATTATGGACATCCAAACTAGAGTTTGCCTAGAGGAATGTGTAAAACAGGATATGTAGCAAGTCTAAGCTTGACTTAATTTGTCAATATGAGTTTAAAAGTTAAAGCACTTCCCCGTCAAATGCCTACATATTTATAAACCGTGATAAAATGTATTCAGGTTAAAGTAAAAAAAAATGTTCTAATCATTATTAAGGGAGCAGTTTTTAATTTTTAATTAAATGGAATAAATATAATTTTAGCAAAGGTAAGCAGTTTTCTGAAATTTGGCTGAATATTATAGAAACCGAGCACAAAAGTAATGATTAAATCTGATGGAGTGGGTCCATTTGATAATAATACAGCGATAATATAGCAATTTTTCTTAATATAGATGAATTAATGCGTAAGACCGAGAACAGGCCCTTGTGGGACTCCCTTAGGATTAAGGAAAGACTAGGAAGCATACAGTATCTTTCAGATTTTATGCAGTTTTTCTGGTTTGTATTTCTGAATCCATGCCAGGGTGCTCACAACAAAGCAAATTTCCTGCAAAGGTCCTGACTCTCTGTGGTCATTAAAAATCCCAGGGTGTTTCTCGAAAAGAGTAGGGGCTGATGTGTGGTGAGCGTTCTGGCGCACTATTGCTGCCGTCGCATCATCCAGGTGGGGCTGCACATTGGTGGTGGTGGAGGGGAGTCCCCATTACCTTTAAAGTGCTTTGAGTGGAGTGTCCAGAAAAGCGCTATATAAGTGTAAGCAATGATTATAATTATTATTATTATTTGAAACAACCTTTCCAGAACCATTGAATCCATGTTGGGGACAACAGCCTTTTTTCTGCAAATGCACACAAACAAGTCAAGCCTTCACTCAATGCTGAACTCAATGCTGAACGCAATGCTTAAAATGTTGTCACAGCCAAGACATTTGACAGGAATCAGGAATTGTTTTTAGCAGTACTGTGAAGTACAGTAGGTTCTATACTATTTAATTCTTAATCTTTAATACATTATTTCAAATAATGTTCAAAACTGTATTTATGTAAGGTATGTATGGCTCTATATATTACATTTTAGTAGAATCTGGCCTGCCATTGCAACTCAGTTTGACTACCCTGCATTAGCCCAGTTCTCAATCCAAGCACACATTAGCTTGGATGCTTATTTTCTGAAATTTGAAAATTAATCTGCTATGAGGATCTTTATCAAGACCCTTCCGAAAAAAAATACCATATAGTATGCTCAGTGTATATCCAATTACAGAGTGCTGGTAAGAATAAAATAAACAAGCACTACAAGTGGGTCTTTTATTAAAATCTAGAACCATTTTTGGCTTTACTGAAAGGTGCAAGGAAGTGTTTTAGTGTCTAACAAAAGGACAGTGAAATATATTCCTCTAAACTGTGGGTTATTTAAGTGCCTAAATTACCTAAAATAATGATTGTTTCAGCCGATCATCATGTACAACATGTTGTGTTATATTGTGGATGATGGCCTGTGACTTTCAATACTTATTTTTTACTGTTTTGTAATGTACTGTGCACGTCGTGTGGTGCTTTCTCTTGTTCTGTGTTGTCTACTCTACTGAGTGCAGCCCCCAAAATTGGAGTGAGTAAGAATCTCAATAAAGATGTACTGATGGCAAATAAACTCCTCTCTCTCATAAATAAAGCATTTTCTAAGTGACGTACAGCAGCATGTTGACGTAGCATGTCAAGCTGTGCTTATGCTTATTGTCTGTGTACGATTTTTAACTGAGCCTGAGCAAATACTGACAAAGTATCACTGGTGCTCTGTAGCGATTGGCATAGTGACACAGAAGGTAGAGATTACCTTGCACACCTTGAGCAGATGTTCAGTGTAACCCTGGCCTGTGGCTCAGGGCAGTAAGAGCTGCGGCCCTGACTGAACTTGCTGCCAGAAGGTGCCAGACTGGTGACGCCCTCCATTCGCAGGTCGTCCAGATCCTCTGTGAGCACAGGAACAAGAGAGAAAAACTGGTTCACCGAGACGTAATAATACACAGTGTTTCTGTCTCAAAATACTTTTTTTTTCATTCTTTTCCATTGATTTAAAAAACAACGGACTGCAATTTCTCTTTGGACATTTACAGTTGAATAAAGACAAATGTATTGAATTTGATTCATTTAATGAAGAAAAAGGAGGAACTGAGACTCAAGGGCTTATACAAAGGTCAGGAAATGTCACATTTTAATAATCTGACAGCAGTATTTTGTGAGGGACTTCACAAAGCTGTGTGTTGTTTCTGCTTTGACTTGTGTATGCAATAAAGACACTCCTACTAAATACAAATAATGAAAGCAAGTACTCAAAAAGGTCCTCATAACTCTAACATAACTCTTTCTTTACAGTGCCTCTGTCCATGCAATTTTGATTTGTGCAAAAGTCTAAAACTTTGACTGTGTTGTACCCCCACCCCCAAAGATATGGAATTTGATTTATAATGACTTATGACAATGTGACTTCAAGCACATAGGTTACCACAGTGATAAAACAAACAACAAAACTCTTAATTTCTTTGGTGACCAACACTTTTGAAATCTTTCCAACAACTTTCAGGAAATGACATTTAAACATCTCTCAAGTTGATCGCAGCATTCTAATTATGACACTGTCAGCAGTCTAGCTCCTGACTGGAAGATCCCGGGTTCAATCCCAAGTAGGGACAAGTGATGGAGCTTGCTCTAAGTCCTTCCAGACGGCTCCCATGTCCACTTA